CAGGAATGAGAACGTGGTATTCTGTTCTTCCCTGCTAGGTGAGTGTAGGACAAACGCAAGACTACTGCCAGTTTGCTCTGAAATGTATTTACTCACACATTCCTGTCTAATACTTTGCACAATTGCCTTTTCTGATCTAATCCCAATGCAACCAGTGTCATACAAATCATTCTGAATAGTCTCAGTTGTCAAAATCCTTGAAAATCTAGCTGCCCAATAAAGGTGAGAGCAGGGAGTCTTTCTTGATGCACAGCGATTCCCACATGCATTGTGTAGTCAGGACATGGCCAAGAGCCATCAAGTCTGTTTGCTCCATCTTTTTCTACTTGTCTTCCTGATCTCTTTATTTAGACAGTAAGATCTATGGGCAGGGATTGTATTGTTTTTGGGATGACGTTATGCCAAGTACCAGGTAATAAATACCAATGATAATAAAAACTGTTTGGCTGTAATAGCATTGAGGCTATCGCTTCTGCTTGGGGATTTTGGCCAGTATTTCCAAATACCTTTCTTTCTCCCTGCCCTCCCACCACAGTTTATCTCTCCTCACCTCATAAAATGCACTAAGGAGTTCTGTTGTGCTACTTAAAAAGGATGCAGCCTTTCTGTGGCTTGGACACCTCTCATATCCCTTTCCAATATATACCATAATTGCATTTCTTTTGGGCAAAGTGGGAGCCCTTCAAGACCCCACGCAGGAATGACAGGGTTATGATCTTTAGAAAGTGTTTGAAAAAAATGATTTTTCTCTAGGTGTTTGATGGTGCTGTCATAATCCTATCTTTGGCACCAATGGTGGCCTCAACAGTGGCTAATGGCCCCAGCAGCCCGTGGGATGCTATCAGCCTTATTATCACACTACGGATATGGAGAGTGAAGAGGATCATTGATGGTGAGTGGTGATTCAGTTTGTGACTCCAAGAATTACCTGGCAGGCTGGGAAAAAGAGATTTTAAAAATACAAAAACATTGCTTGCCACCACTATTTCTATCGTTCTTATTCCTCAGCACTGAACAGAAGAGAGTTATGACTCCCATGGAGGAGAAATAGGTCTCAAGTTTGTGGCTGTATCTCCTGTTCCCTAGGAGGCTTTATAATTGATTCATTTGTTTTTCTGTTAGGCACCTTCAGATCCCCTATCCTGTAAAGTAAACACCCCGACCTGCTTCCTCTCTCTTGCCACCAGAAGTCATTCCTGATTCTGCAAAGTAATTGCTTCAAATCTGCTTTTCTGATATTTGCTGCACCCTCCCCATTTGCATACTGCTAGCTCTGTCTTGGGGCTTTCTTTTCCAAGTTCATGTCTGTAATACAATTTTTATGTCAGATTCCAGGAGCATTTTCTTAACCGTGGGGGTTCCATGCTGAAGGTGCTCTCTGCAATGCTGGTGTGCTGTACAGCATAATAAAGAAGCGTGTATTGGTATTGTTTTGCACAGACCTCTGTGAGGAAGCACCAGGGGAGACAAGAAACCCTCAGCAAGTGAAGGTTGCAGAGAGCAGAACTGATGACTGTGCCTAGAAGGAAGGACTTTAGTGTAGACTACTTTGTGTTCAGCAGTTTCAGGCACCTTAGGTTACAGGGAAAAGAGGTGGAAAACAAATAAATGAAAGATCACTTTGCTCATGTGTGAAATATCAGAGTCAAGTTGTTGTTTTGGGTTTAGATGCCCAGGAAACTCTGTATTCAGAGTTGAGGAAAAGTCGTAGCCCTCCGACTGAAGTGTACAAGAAAAGTTCAGAATCTTGTGTAGTTTCAGAAAACATCAAAAATTGCAATATGCATTGAACAGCTTTGCTGATCAGTCTGGGTTTGCCATAGTTATGACAGGAGCAAGATTTCCAGAGGCATTCAGAAGACCTATTGAAAACTGTGCTGTAGCTTGAAAAGCAATAGAAGATAAATGCCTTTTTGTTTTTTTAAAATATCCTTCTTAGTCTGCTGTTTCCATTAAGGGCTTATTTCTTACCACAAAGTCTGGGAATTAAATGCTTAGGGCTCTGGAATAGTTCTTTTCCTAAGGGACCCGTGCTGTTCAGGTTTAGAGGGGACAGGCCTAACTCTAAGCAGAAAATCCTCCTACCCAGCAATTCAGGAAATCTGTGGTAAACACTGGAAAAGATCTGTATTAGTGTAGCAGAAGCTAAGAGCAGCATGCAGGATGCATTTCAGCTCAGCCAGGCAAATTGAGGTCTGACCAAACAAGATCTAGACCCTGCTGATGACCTGCATTTCACGTTAGAAATCCTTCCCAAGAAGAAATAATCTAGTGCTATTTCTATAAGAAATACTCTAGTTCTTTAGATGCAAGTGAAAGGGGTGACATTCTTTGGGCTGTAAGGGTCTGTAAAGGTTTTCCCCCTGATGTAAAAAAAAAAAAAAAAGAAATCACAGCTGTGTTACTTTAAGTGCTTATTTGTGTTTTCCAGCCTATGTCCTTCCAGTGAAAGTAGAGATGGAGATGATGATTCAGCAATATGAGAAGGCAAAGGTTATTCAAGATGAGCAGCTGGAAAGACTAACCCAGATCTGCCAAGAGCAAGGGGTAAAGTTCAGTTATGTCTTCATTTATGCATTGCTTGTCATGGCAAATCAAACAGTTCATGTACTTTGCTGCAAGCTAAGGCTTGAAGTGTCACTAGGACTTCTGTTGTAAGGTGACAGGTCTCAGTGTTAAGGAAGTATTAGCTGCAACCAGGATATTGTCAGCATGCTATTTGTCAAAAGAGCAGTTGTCTCCTTCTGGTGCTGTGCTCCTGTTTTTTAAGGTGAGGAAAACAAATGTGAGGAATAGAAAAAGAATGCTTCCAGTATGTAATTTATTGAAAGAGTACAGGTAGCTTGATATAATACTAAGAATATGCAAAAGTCATTGCCATTGTTGGAGACTGCAGCTATATTAAGGCCGTATTCCTAGGAAAAGTATATGCAGTTGAAAGCTAATGAATCTCCTTGCTTTAAATGCAGAAGGCAGCTTCCCTGTAGGTCAGTCAGAGACTCTTGGCAGACTCAAAATGTTGCAATAGAAGCTTCTAGTTCCTGGAAGCAAGTCAAGATTTAAGACTCTTCCCAGGCCCCCAAACGTTCAGTGATTCAGTCTTGAGGTAAGGGAAAGTGAAGCTTAAAATGTCTCAAATTAATATATTTACATGAAAAACGTGTAAAACTACTGTTTGGGCAATAAGCCAGGAGTTTTTGCAGTTTGTCTCATGCAAATGAGTTCTTGAATAACCTGCTTTAAAGTAGGAACCAGGGATGTATGTTGAGGCCCAGGCTCAGTGATCATTTAGGTGACCATCAAACAACAACAGAATGATCCAGCAAGTGACTTCTTGTTTCAGTTGTAAGGGTAACTATGAGGCGTCCAAATAAATCCTGGAGATTTCTAGCTTCAAATCCCACTCCCCACTTGTGGAAGGTGCTTTTCAAATACAAAATGAGGAGATCTGTAAGTCTGAATGGCTCAGTCGGTCAAAAAGTTGAAGGACCTGAGCAGACAGGAAGAGAGGCAACTTGTCCCAGAACAGACAGGTGCAGAATCTGAAGCAGGGATTTAACTGCCCATCTTTTAGTGAGGAACCTAAAATGCTTGTGAAACCATCAGTATTTAGGTCCCCAAATGGCTTTTTAGATTTAGTTCCAGGTCTCCTGGATCTCAACCTAGGATTCTGCAGTGAACTTGTGGTGGTATTAGGTTGCCTTTTCTGTGTAATGAATTTGGAAGACAATGTTGACAGTGCGTGTCATTTCATAACACTGTTTTTGAGAGTCTGTCATGTTAACCATAACTAATTTCTAAACCTTAGGCTTGACTTTTGCCAAAAATTTGTTACTTCCAACTATGTAAGTATCTTCAGTGGTAAAACTGCAGTTGTCTTCATGACAGCTTTGTACAATGATACTAATTGATTCACAGATCTGTCATGGTTGTGAAATGAACAGGGAAATGGTATATACTCCATTTTACAGGGCAGAGATGACCCTTTGACCAAATGCACTGGGCAAATCAGTGATTTCTTGAGTCCCATTGCCGTATTTTCTCTGTCAGACCATGCATTTAGGCTAAAGTTCTTCACAATCATAAATTTGAAAACATTCATATTTAGGAAAGGTATTATGCAGCCAGATAACACTCTCAATCTATAAACAATTTTTGGTGTTGTTATTTCGTAGTCTCTGAGTAAAGGTGGGCTTGTTATCCCAAGTGGGGCTCAGCAGCAGCTTTTACTCCGTCCTGATCCATGTACTCCTTATCTGCATTCCTGGCGTGTAGAATGTCGGAGCGTAGTAGCCCTAATCTGAGCCCATGATGGTTACAGCATGGCTGTACATCGAGCACAAAGAAATACTGCATTGGTAGATGAGTGAATCTGTGAAAACAGAACAGGTTCTCTCCTAGCTTTCAAGTGTCATCAGCTATGGAAAAATATGAACTATAGAAAAATGACAGCATACTTATCCCTCTTATTTTACTGTCCTGACTTCCTGCCAAACAAATGTCTCAGCTATATGATATGAAGTAAATGCACCAATTTGCTACAGTTAGCAACATAAGACATTGACACAAGTACTGCATCCTTCCTTTGTAAATTATTAGCTTCATAATTCAGTCAAGAACAAGTTGTCAGCATTATAATATTCACATTAATGTTGTGTAGAGTATCTGGTGGGAAAAATGTCTCTTAATGGTATTTAAAATTCTGCCAGGTTTTTGCTTTTTCATTTGATCATCTTTCCTGACCTTTTTAGAGGATTGCTGTCGTTCGTGGAGATTAAGTGTGCACGTCTGTGTTTTTGAGTGAAAGTTTGCCTGCGGTAGTCTGGCTGGTCTCAAATCTGGAGCACCAGCAGGGAGGGATTCCAGTTTGCCTTGTCTGTGTGGTGCCAGCTCTGGCACTGGCAGATGGGGTAGCTGGGAGCTGCCCACAGGGGTTGACTTGTTGCCCTGGATTCATGCTGGGGCACGCCAGTGCAGCCCGGGTAGGAAGAATGGGGAAGCCACCTTGGTTGCCTGCATGCCAGCAGTGGATGTAGATACTGATTCATCCTGAGGCTGCATCTTTGTGACCACAATGATGATTTGCATTTATGTAATAATTATAGATAGGGATGAAAACATTCCTGTTAGATTTCCCAGCACTTCCTTTTCTGAGATCCTGTGTTCATTTTCTTACTGCTTTGCCACTTGTCAGGCCATTGGGATTGAAATTCTCAAGGTCTGGCATCTTCTGCAGATAAAATTATTTTGAAAGTTTCAGACAAAATATTAATTATTTCTGAAGAGGAACTGGGAAAAAAATTAGCCTGTTTTGTTTGGGATTTAAAACAAAAATAATTGGTGGCCAGTTCTCTGAGAAATCCCATGCCCTCCTCTTTTGAAGCTGGTGCTTAACAATTGACAGGCAAAAATGGAGTTCCTGCTTTAAAAAAATAAAAGCAGGAAAGATGCAACCTCCCTTCATCTTACTTTTTGAATTCTGTTTCTTTTGTCAGTTGTGTGGGTTTTTTTGGCCAGTGATAGGGTATCACAACTATAAAGTGCATTTCCATTCCTGAATGACATTGGAGAGGTACTTTTGCAAATATGAAAACTCTTTCCAGATGTTGATTTTTGGCTAGCCATACATCTGAAAACCGGAATGTATTTTATAAATTATAGTTGCGTGGACCACTGCTTTGTTCTTTGTAGTACCCCACTGAAACTGTTTGAATAGTTTGCTATTTTATTTATTCTCCACTGGCCAAGAAAGAAGTCATTAAAAAGGGAGTGGAGCGTGAGGGCAGTCAAGGCAGAAAATAATGAAAGCGCTGAGATGGCTGTACAGAACTTCACAAAACGTGCGAAACATTAAAAATCCCTGCTACTGTGATTGTTAAAAATAGGCAAAGGTAAAAGGTAAAAAACCTCACTGTAATTACTATCAAAAATATGAATATAGTATATTGCTGATGGTATTGTTTTATCAGAATAACTTATCTTAAATTGCAAAACAAAGTTCCAAAGTTTCATTAACAATGCAAATTCCAGTAAGGAAAGATTGCTTTTTTCCTCTGGAATCACCTGTAAAGGAATTTCTATTTCTGATAATAGATCTAATAACGTAATCTTTCATGATCTTTTCTGCCTAACTTTCGTAAGAGTCATTCAGCTGAGTACTGTCCAGCCAAGACTATGTATTCAGCCTTATCACAAGACCTCCTTTTCTGTCAGCTCCTATAGAATTGGGTTTTTCATCATTCTCAAAGCTGCAACAACTATGGAAGCTATAATTTCTTTTTTATCTTGGAATATAATTTGTACAACAGCTGCTAGTTTAATGACAGGGCTATTTAGCTGGTAAAATTACCTATCGGAGAAATAACTTATGTTATCCTTTTGCAATAATTTTAATTTATTTCTAACTACCAGTCATTTTCTTGGTGAATGGAAGGCAGCCAAGGTCATCCTGTGTTTCATTCTGCCCGTAAATCATTAGTTTGCAACTGTTTCCTGATTTTTATTGTTACCAACAATGGCTAAACTAATGGAAATAAACATTGGATTGTATCCCAGTGGCAGATGAGTTTTAGGGCAGGGCATTCTGTACAGACAGCACTAATAGAATGGAGCAAAGTTATTGCTCCTGCATTAAGACACGAGTAAGCTTCTGGCTAAAATGTTCATTGATCTCTCTGAAACTATGTCAATCACATTCGCTTGCTAGACCGTTAAAGGGAAGTACTATATGATTCACTGCTAAGTCCCTTTTTCAGTCTTACATGCATGTTGTAAAATGTCAGATAGGATATGTGGCATGCTTTATAAAACCAGGCATGTAAACTGAGATGTTATCTAAAGCTCTGGGTAGGTCTCTGTCATTTTACCTGCTTATAAATAATCACCTAATGCATTCTTTGAGTGAGGAAGTGCATGGGTGTGCCCTATAGTTCTTTCTGGTTTGTTTCCTGCCCAAATATTGCTAAGTTTGTGCTACAAGAGGACGTGTCACAAATTTTGAAAACACTAAGTAAGTTTAAATGTACCATCAATGAACTTTCTCTTAATGGCTGACAATCTAGTTACTCATTCTTATATGAGACACTCTGTATCTCCCTTTTTCTTGGTAATAAGTGTATTTTCACATTAGCCATGTGTATTGCACTTTTATTGCTGTCTTCCGCTCCCTCATGGGAAGGTGTAGCCAGGGTCTTCAGGTGCACAGTGGCAGTACACACGCTTGGGATGCACAAAATCCCTGTTAAATATAAGACCAAACATTTTCACCAGGAGAATAGTCAGGCACTGGAGCAGATTGCCAGGGAGGTTGTGGTATGTACAATCTTGGAGATAGTCAAAACTTGACAGGACAGGCTTTTAGCAACCTGAGCTAAATGGACTTGCCTTAAGCTGGGTGTTGAACTAGATGACCCTCACAGGTCCATTTCAGCCTAGATTATGCTGTGATTCTATGAAGTTTTCAAATATTTTTTTTTTTTTCACAGAGTATGTGGGAACTTATTATTGATAATGTCTTCCGCTCCCTCATGGGAAGGTGTAGCCAGGGT